CTTTAATTTTAGCTTCTATTTCTTTTTCAATAATGTCTTCTATATCTACAATTACATTGTCATCATTTTCAACTAAACCAGTGTAGTGAAATAATTTCATCACTATTGATGAATTTGTGAAATTAATTTAACTAGCATCTCTACTTCTCTTTTTTATAAATAACGGTTTTCTACACTTTAGCTTTCAACAACATATTTACTCATTGCTTTCCTTTCTCGCCAATTGCAGCTCTTAAAGTTGCCAATGTAATTAGCACAGCTTCCTAAAAGCACAAAAATAATTTACACAACATGTAAATATAAATTAATCATATATTCTCAAACGCACCTCAGTTCTTATTGTACGACTTCCTTGACCGGGGCATGTGTTTATCCATAAATCAAACAAAGCATCCGCTTCTTCGCCGGTGCATTTTAAATCTTGATCCGCATCAATAGAAGTTTCAAGTCCTCCCAAACCACCGAACATGATTAGCAAATGGCTATTAAGAATACTTAATCGCTATATAATTTCATTAAATAACAATGACAAAGGTAGTACTGTAAAGCAAACCTAAATTCTGGTAATTCGTCTACCAGGTTATGAACAACCCTGCCACGTTCGGATGTTCCTATAGTCAGGTCGTACCCAGACTGCTTACATTAGATATAAGAAATCAAAACAACTTTACTCAACAATTCTCGACAATTATATCATGAACATACTGGAAATGGACATTCAGTGAACACTTTTGATATTGAATCTGCCATGCGAACTTGATAGCCCCAATAAAAGCCATTTTGTCGCGGAGTTTTTGGCGATACCACCTTAGCTTTAATATAGGTTCCATCTATAAAAGAATTATATAAATTATATAAAGAAAATAAAAGAATAGACCAATGAATAAAATTTACCAGCTTTGACAACATCATAATTTTCCATATCCAAAGTTACGCGGATTCCTGGTTTGATTGAACGATCAATTATAACATGCTGTATGGAGAGTTTGAGGTGATGAATATGTGATTTAATATATGTTTGTAAGATAACGAAATTACCTTGGTGAGCCCAGCATTGACCAAAGAACCTTTTTTAATCTTTTTGTCCATTACAACACCTTCTCTAAACGGACATTTCTCATCTTGACGAACGTGATGTGGACAATCTAATGGATTCAGCAAGCCTATATATTTTAAATAATATGAGTTTCAATGGCGTTTATATAATTTAAATGCAAATTTCAGTACCAGCATATCTAAGATCTTGATGAACGGGAAATAGATCCTTGCGTAAATATCTTATGAAGTTCAATTAGACATAACAAATTAGTGACAATCTCTAACAATAATAATGATGAAAAACTTTTAAAGAACCCACTGTGGAGTTTCCAAATACTGTAATATCCTAGCTAAAAAAATATTTGGATCAGAAGAAATATTTTTGGATTGTTTGTTTTTACGACTGGACTCTCCTTGCAGAATATTATCTGAATTTCGCAATGCTCCCGATTCATTGAAGACGACTACTTCATTCACATTAAATATCGCGAAAGCACGTGCAAGCTTCACGACAGGAATTAAAACAATTAGTATTAAACTTAAATAAATGTTTATAACTCTAAGTTTTTACCTGTCCAGCCAAATAAGTTTTAAGTTCAGTTGACTGAGCATTTTCAACTATCGAGCCAGGGAACGCAACACTCACAGTATACTGTTTTCCTGTATTTGCGCGTAAAATATTATTACATATTTTCTGTTTTTTTATCGATCCTACTTCGGTAGAGTCAGAGCCAACCCTGTGCTTTTTGATAAAACTAAATAATTAACTTTTGTAAATATAGAAATATGAGAAAAAAAACTTGATAAGGTACCTTCTTGCTAACACGTTTCGACATGCTAATATGATTTGAGTTATTCGACGAATAGTATATTGTCGGGTTCATCTATGTACGTAGAACTCCAGGGGAGACCGTCCCAAATTAGGAAATAATTATCCGAGTCACCCGAATGTTACACTATTTTTTTTTATACGTTTTACAATACTTCTATTAAAAAGCCCGGGCCAATCAAATTTGCAAAAAATTTTT